AAAAAAGATTTTGTATTTTCATAAGTGGGGTAAAACTATGGAATAATTTAAGTGCGGACATAAAAAATAGTAATAGAATTGACGAGTTTAAACGTAAATATAAAAGGTATGTGCAAGATATATGCAAGAACAGGCTCAATGATTAAATACATGGACTATTGTGGGTGTGGTGTATATTTTGTAACTATTAGTATATCACTTGTGTGATGTAAGAATGTTAACACTGTTATAATCTTTTTTTAGTATAATATGTGTGTGCAGAAGTGAATCCTTTATTGCTTGCAAACCAATGATGGTAAGATGATGTCATGGGGTAGGACTGGATAAGTCTGACTTCTTCCTACTCCATTCAAGCATGTACTAGGTATAAGCAAATTGATATTGGATTGTGTGTAAAAATGTGTGTTGTTATATCAACTGTTTAATATGCTTGAAAGAATAAATCAAATCAAACCAAATCAAATCCTATACCCATTACTGTCAGCTGTTTAACATGCCACCTCCTCTTTTCTTGCTCTTCTCCCACAGGCTCCGACCCTTACCATGTTCATGACAGTGAGGATGTAGGTGGTGACATTGTCCCTGCCGTGTTTCTCCAGCAGCTTCCTGTCTGCGACCACCAGGGTCTCCACATTCAGACCTCCCACCCTGTTAGAGTTGATGGGTGATCTCTTTGCTCTTCCTGGCCCTTCCACCTCAGGCACCACAAATTCATCAGGCATAATGAAACGGTCCTCAGTGGGAGGCTTGGGAGTGTCTAAGGGGGTGTAAATGGAAAGACAGAAGGGAGGAGAGACAAAGTATGCGGGAGAGCATCTAAGACAAAAATATTTAGAGGGTCAAATGAATTAACTATTTTTTTCCAAGCTTGTGTCGGGTGGTAAGAACAGGAAATTCACTCTGCCTGCTGTTGCCTACCTCTCACTATAATGTAGGCAAAGGAACAAGTAGCCTCAAGCACTAGTACAATGCACTCAAATACATGTATGATAAAATATAAACTCAAATAAGATTTTCTGTGAACACTTAAACACATTCTTCAAAATTAATATGTATGTATGAAGAGACTTGAATTATTTATAGTTGACTGCTGTATACAGGTGCTGGTCATATAATTAGAATATCATCAAAAAGTTGATTTATTTCACTAATTCCATTCAAAAAGTGAAACTTGTATGTTATATTCATTCATTACACACAGACTGATATATTTCAAATGTTTATTTCTTTTAATTGTGATGATTATAACTGACAAC